TTAAATTATAAGAATTGTAGCATCAACAATTTTACAACAATTTTTTATTATTTTATAAAAATTCATGACTAAGAGTTCTACTTGCACAATACTTTTTACTATATGAAAATGTATACGACTAACGACTTTACTTTCATCATACTGAAAATCTTTTGTATTATGTATTGTTTACATTAATTTACATAATTTTCATTAATCTATATAATTAATAATTAATTATATATAATTTGAAATATAAACATTTGTTATAAAAGTATGAATAAACTCTTAAATAATTATGCAAGAAGAAAGTTTCCACCAAACAACTAATTAATCTAACAACTACATAATAGTAATACTATACAATAACTAGAAAAAATTAACAAAAGAGACATACGGTTCTCTAAAATAATATATAACAAAATTGGAGGCTGGTTCTGCCTGTAGTAAAAAGCAAAATAAAATAAAATATATATATATATAATTATCGCTATTTATTAAATATATTTTATTTACTTCGTGCACATGCTAGACCACGCCTAAAACATGCCACTACACCAATCTATACTATTAAAAGAGGATCATTTTTTAAAATAACTTTTGTCTACTGTGTTATTTATAGCAATTGCCATTAATGAATTAATATAATGTATAAACTATGTAAATGGTACTAACTATACTAACTATATATTTGTAACTATCTAAATTATTTAAAAAGAATCATTCTTAATAAATGTCCAATTCATACCATGATATTTACAAGTCCTATCATTATATTTATTAGAGATTTCATAATTTCATTAAAGATATTAGTGTCTTATTATAATTTTAATTACACATTTTTTTTGTTCTAATAATTACACACTTAAACACTATAGTTAACATACACTAACCATACTTGATTAATTTGGATCAACGCTCTGATTATCACTATTTTAAGTACAATTGGGTTTTATCTCGATTGGAAAAACTCAATTTTGAAACATTAGGCGCTTAAGGATCTTAATATATAAAATTAATTAAACGTTAGGCAAATCCCTAGATCCACACTCTGAGTATAGTTGTTGACACTAAATTATGAAGTTATTGTTTGACGAAGATCTCTCACGTGACATTTTCAAACGGGATTGCTCCAGCACAATTATGTGGCTTTTGGTTAGCCATGCTAGGGTTTAATAATTGTGAGCTACTGTTTTGCCTATCTTGAAAGATTCTTCATCGTTAACACAATCTGGTTTAAAAAAATTGTTCGTTTCTGGTTTAATAGGACATAACTTTAGCAAAACAAAAATGAAGAGAATCTTTGTTGAGTGTGACGGAGGAATTGGTTAGAGTTGTGTTTGATTGATTGGTTTGGGTGATATTTAGAAGATATTTTTTTTTGGAATTTTAAAAAACTAATGAATTACAGTGAAGAAGAAGAAGGAAGGTGGGTCAGATTGTTTTACGGGTGATATGTTTTTGGGTTGGATTTCGTTAAAATTAGATTTGATTCGGTTGATGATTTGGTTCGATTAGTTTATTGAGTGTAATAGTAACCAAAATTTCAAAATCTATGTACATATACAAATATTAAACCAATTAAACTAATTCATATACCGAATTAAACTATAACTAATTAAATAGCAAATCTTAGTTACCTAATTATAGTTTTGGAATATATGATTATTCAATTACAATAACTAATAAAATTTCGAAAACTAAACAAAGAGAATGTAAGATCTGTACAAAATCTTTAAAAAAAAATGTGATTGTATATCTTCACAAAATACGGAATATACAAGCATACATTCTGGAATGCGGATATTTACTTTTGAATTTGCATGTATTTACTTCGAAACATACATTATTGTTTATTGAGAAAATATATTATATATTGTTAATTTGTGTGTTCTCGCATGTGCTTAGTGCGGATTTGCGGAATGCATGTAACACAATTTTGCAAATTATATGGGTTTTATTTATTTTAGTGGAAAAATATAGTCATACAGAAAAATACGGGTTTGTGGGTTAGAAACTCGATTTTGCAGGTTTGGCAAAAACACATGATTTTAGAAATTTGGTCGTAAAACGTAATTTTACGGATTTTACAATTTTACAGAAAACACGAATTTGTGGATTTGGCAGAAAACCTAATTTTACGGGTTTTACAAAATTTACATATTTTGGAGGGTTTTATAGGATTTGATAGAAAATATAGTTTTATAGATTTTATTGAAAGTGCAGGTTTGCGGGTTTGACAAGAAACGCAATTTTGCAGGTTTGACAAAAACACGTGATTTTAGAAATTCGGCCATAAAATACGGTTTTATTTCATTAACATAATTTTTGGTTTTGTTAAAAAAATATGAGTTTGCAGTTTTGGCAGGAAAATACGGTTTGATGGAAAATACTATTTTTACAGTTTCTACGAAAATTCTTGGTTTTGGTACAACAATGTGATTTTACAATTTTGAAGGAAAATGCAACTTTTTATTTCAATAGAAAACTTTGATTTTATGGTTTTCACAAAAAATATATTTGATTTTGTGGTTTAAATTAAAGTGTGTTTTGGTCTTTTAATTTTTGAGATTCAAATACTGCATCCAAACTTTTTTTTTAGAATTTTAAATTTTTAATATTTTTCAATATTATAGATTTTGCATCAAGATACAACATCCATATATTGATTTAAAAATATTTTTAAAAAATAATATTTAAGCATTTGCATCCAAATAAGTATTTAGATGCAAAAATAAACAAGTCTAAATAAATATTGAAATCTTAATTACAAACAAATCAAATCTCTACTACAATATTAGAAAACATAAAATTTTGAAATATTTGTTACAAAACTTAACAGAAAATCCGCTAATAAAAATATTTTTTATATAAATTCAAGCCTAAATAATTATAAGAACATAAAATCATAATGTAAAAATAGTTTCTATAATCTAATAAAAAAATTCTGTGTAGGCCATAATTTTGAATTTAATAATATAAGCTGATCTTTTTTGAACAAAAGTTTAATATAAACTAAGTTTTGTTGTAAAGTAAAAACAATATTTTATGAAAAGAAACCCGCAAAAGCGCAGGTCTAAAATCTAGTTAACCATATAAAACATGCCACTACACTAATTAATCATCTAAACCATGCCACTACACTAATTAACCTCTTGTTAAATATGTATATGTCATATGTGTTACATATATTGATCATACATGCTACTATATATATATCCTAGATTCCAATAAGTAAATAATGGTTAGACATACAAATTAAAGTCTACATATTTATGTTTTGGAGTTGTTTTTTTTGAAGCTTCAATGCATCTAAGACTATCAGTATAATACAATTTTTATTGATGCATCTTTTAAAATGTTGAGAGACTCTTCCCAAAATCTCTCTAATGAAAGATTTTGAAGTAAGTCTTTCAATATTTATTAGAGAGATTTTGGGAAGAGTCTTTCAACATTTTGAGAGATTTATCAATAAAATAAAATTAATCAGTTCTGACAGACTCCTATTGCATATGCTGTAAACGAGAGAGTTATTTGCGTTGCTTTAAATCGAGTCAAGGAATTGCATGTTTATTTGTCTGCTATCTATTTATAGTGCTGTGATGTTTCTAAATTCTAATAATAATGCTCTGATTTTTTTGTTTTTCTTTTCTTGAACAAGTTGGGCTGGTCTCGGTGAATCTTCTCGAAAAAAGAACACTATTATTTTATAATACCAATCTGTAGAAACCTCGATCCCCATTGCTTCAATCAATCTCAGAAAGAACCGTTACTTTATTACAAAGAACACATCATATAATATAATATTAGAACTTAGAACAATATTCTTGGACAGGATAAGAGAAATCCACACTTTCAAACGCTAGTATATATACTTAGAAGTCGGCAAACAAATTTAAGTGGCTAAACAATAGCTTAACTCGTAAGTCTAATTAAATCCGGATAACACTATTGGTGTTTAAGCTTAACAAACCGTAATTTATCTAAAATGTTTTGGTCCGTCCGGTCCGGTCCGTTCGGTCCGGTCCGGTTAAGTGTCTTTTTCTCTGTTCTTCAGTTTTGGCTTCTTTCGAAACAGTCCTTTGTTAGTTTGCTGCACAACGTATCTTTCAGTGTTTTTGTCAACTAGTAAAAGGGCAACTTCGTAAAATAGGACCCACATCTATAACTAGCCAGTCAAATCACGCCACGTTTTTACTGTGTCACACGCGGAAAATGAGAGAAATGTTCGCATTTTACTTTGAAGGATGCCATTTTCTCCTTACGAAATGCTTTCACCTATTCACTTTGCCCCCACCTCCTTATTGTCTTTTAACAATTCTACACATTGAGTTATAGAACTATCAATTTAGCTCCCGATACAATGAGATTTTATATTTTATTTCTCAGTGTAATTCTTCTGTGCCTATTAAAACTTTCTTAAAGAATAAATCATACCTAAATATACTTTGTCTCAACCACTTTAAAAGAATTTATATAATTTAACGAAACTATATATGAATAAGACAATAATTTTGGAAAAATCTATTGTACTCTTTAGCTTTTAAGTTCGGAAGTTTATCTATACATTTCAAAACATATAAAATAAATCAGTTCTTGAAGATTTTGGAAAATAGTGTAAATTAATATATAGGGGGTGCAAATTGTGAAAAAACAAAATATTATAGTAAAAAGGGAAAAGAAAGATATGCATAAGCATAACATACCATTTCCAGCTGAATCGTCAACGCACACAGGTTTATCTTTAAGAAGTTTTATAAAATTAATTAAAATTTTAGAGGAATAGCTCAAATTCGGAATTTTCCAGTTTTTTTTTCTTCTCTCTCTCTCTCTCATCATTTCGTATTTTCTCAATTTCTGTGTTTACACTCTCCATCGACTTGTAAATTCACTTTTCTTAGGGTTCTTCTTCATCGGAACTTTGATCTCGCGGAAGACGATCATCGGATTTCTGAAAACCGGAGATGGCCGGCGTTGATTCCTGCAAGCTTATCGGCTCGGAGATTCATGGGTTTCATACTATGCAAGGTTTGTTTCAAAGATGATCGTTCGTGTTGATTCAGGAAAACTAGTTGACTGTTTCCTTTTTCTTTTGTTTTGGCTTTTCTTAAATTCGCACGAAAATCGCTTCTCTGAGTTTTCATTCACCGATCATTTTCCATTCATTTTGTCTGGGTTTTAGACTTTTCCGATTGCTCTTGATTCTCGCAGCTATTGAACTAGAAATTGCAGATAGTTGTGGAATTGAAGGTTCCTCGTGATCTAATGTGGTGAATTTGAATAAGAGTTCACCTACATTTAGGCAGATTAGTAAAAATAGAGAAGAACTTCAATTCGGATTCGAAGCAGACAATTTGGCGATCATGAGACTTTTCGTACTTGTTCATGAACATGTTTTAGTATATTCAGAGTTCATTCTTTATTCACGTGAAAAGATCACTGGGATTGTTTCATTTGATCGTGAATATGGAAAAAAAAAAATTAGATGCATCCATAGATACGTGAATTTGTGCTTATTGTATCCTTGAGGTTTTCTTGTCGAATATTTGACAGTTTTGATTGTGTGTTGCAGATCTGGATATACAAACGATGTTGGAGGAAGCATACAGTAGGTGGCTCCGGCCAAATGAGATCCATGCTCTCCTCTGTAACCATAAACACTTCACCATCAACGTCAAGCCAGTGACCTTACCCAAAAGTAATTATTTCTTCCATGCCATTTTACAGTTCTTTCCAATATTTGTTCTTTTGGCTCATTCAAGAACTCTGTCCACTGTTGGACTTTACTACTTCTTGTTAGGAACTTCTTATTCACAGATGCTGTTTTAACTTGGACAAATCTCTGTTCAAGCTCTTGTTCTATCAAATTTTGAATTTGTTCATATTTTCAGGTGGCACGATTGTGTTGTTTGACCGTAAGATGTTGAGGAACTTTAGAAAAGATGGTCATAACTGGAAAAAGAAAAAGGATGGAAAGACAATTAAGGAAGCTCACGAACACCTAAAAGTGAGTGTTCTTAATGTGTATTTGAGTTCATATGCGTGTTTGTCTCCTCTACAGCTAGTATATACGTTTCTTTGTGACCTCTGTATATATATATATTTTTTTTCCTTCTCCAGGTTGGTAACGAGGAAAGGATTCATGTTTACTATGCCCACGGTGATGATAACCCTACATTTGTTCGAAGGTGTTACTGGTTATTGGATAAGTATGTGGCAACAAAAGATTATCGGCTCACCTTTGATGAAATAGTTGATTAAATGCATCTGCTTTATTTCTTTATTTCTGAAAGTTACGAAAATGAATCACCTCTTTCTATAATGGCAGGTCTCAGGAGCACATAGTTCTTGTCCACTATCGTGAGACACATGAGGTTTTCGACACGTCCCCAGCTTTTTCTGATATTTTCTTTATGTTAGAAGTGAATAGGGATTAGGATGATTTATATTTGTTGTCGAATAGCTTACAGCCTTCACTGCAGATTTTAGTTACAAAAGACAATATTCGTTTGCAGCTCTCTGAGGAATTTTGGTAAAACAGGTTCAGGCAGCTCCAGCAACACCTGGGAACTCGTACTCAAGTTCGATCACTGAGCACTTACCACCAAAACCTGTGGCTGAAGATATTAATTCTGGTGTCCGTAATGCTTTTAATACAGGTGAGAAAGAGTCTCTTGGTGATTTTGAGCTTTTGCAATTCAAACTTTCGGTGTCAGTTCTTCCGTATTGTGTGTATATTTAAATATGTTCTTCATTTGGAGTTCTCTTAGAAGGCTGGGCATTTACACTCTTTTTTTTGAAGGGTTTGAAGTGCGCAGCAACAGCCTAGGTGCTAGAAATCATGAGATTAGGCTTCATGAGATCAACACACTTGATTGGGATGAACTCTTAATACCAGCAGATATTAGCAACCAGTCTCTACCAACAGAAGGTACTTATATTGCTTGAGCTTGTCCTTTGAAAATCCCCATCCCTTTACAAAAAGAATAGCTGCTTGTTGTTAAAAAGGAGCAATGAGATGATGCTGAAAAACACTTGACTTTTCTTCTCATATGTTCTCTGCTTACAGAAGATGTGTTATACTTCACAGAACAGCTCCAAACTGCGCCCAGGGGCTCTGCAAAGCAAGTGAGTGAAATTAATTTTTAAAGCATGCAAATGGCTTTGCCTGTCTTTATTGTCACCATGTTGCCGTCTTGTTCATTGTGCAGGGAAATCACCAAGCAGGCTACAACACATCAACAGATACACCACCATCATTTCTCGGTCTTGGAGACCCTGTTTATCAAAATAATAATCCGTGTGGCGCTGGAGAATTTTCTACTCAGCATTTGCACTGTGTATTAGATCCAAATCAACAGACAATGGATACCAGTGCAACAGTTGCTGATGAATCGGGTGATGCTTTGCATAATAACGGTTATGGAAGTCAGGATAGTTTTGGAAAGTGGGTGAACAACTTCATAAGTGACTCTCCTGGTTCAGTGGAGGATCCTTCCCTTGAAGCTGTATATACACCTGGGCAGGAATCATCTGCTCCTCCTGATGTATATCATGCTGAGTCTAACATACCGGAGCAAGTATTCAACATTACTGATGTTTCACCTGCCTGGGCTTATTCGACAGAGAAAACAAAGGTTTTTTGAATCAAACTCTTTAATATACCTTTTTCTATCATGTCACCACTGGTTTGTCGTATCCTATAACCAAACAAAACCTTGCTTTCACGGGATAGTCACTTCAGTCATGATGCTGAAGGGAAAGAAAAAAATTGTACACCTTAGACCTTGGTTTAAAAGAGGAGAGTAATAAACTATCTCCATTTGGTGGCATTAATCAAAGCCTGCCCATTAATAAATAATATGGAATTGACTGTGTCTGACATTTTGCGTGTGTGTTTGTTGAGGTCTTATGCATGTTATTAGTAGGTTTGCACTAAGAAATTGTGTATCGTGTGATTTACGATATATAATAGAGATGAAGCTTGGATATTAAAGCATAACATTGTGATATTCGTCTCTTTTTCATATTGCGTCTTAAAACTAACATTTCAAGATCTAATAAGCATTTCTTGCTGTAAAGAGCTAACCATTTACATGTGAATTTTGCAGATACTTGTAACTGGGTTCTTTCACGACAGCTTCCAACATTTTGGAAGATCAAATCTCTTCTGCATTTGCGGGGAGTTGCGTGTCCCCGCGGAATTTCTTCAGATGGGGGTTTATCGTTGCTTCCTTCCCCCTCAATCTCCTGGGGTGGTGAACCTTTATCTAAGTGCCGATGGGAACAGACCGATAAGCCAATTATTCAGCTTCGAACACCGCTCAGTTCCAGTTATTGAAAAAGTCGTTCCTCAAGACGACCAGCTATACAAGTGGGAAGAATTTGAGTTCCAAGTCAGACTCGCTCATCTTCTGTTCACTTCTTCGAACAAAATCAGCGTTTTCTCAAGCAAAATCTCACCTGATAACCTGCTAGAGGCTAAGAAGCTCGCCAGCAGGACTTCTCATCTCTTGAACAGTTGGGCGTATTTAATGAAGTCAATCCAGGCGAATGAGGTGCCGTTTGATCAAGCGAGGGACCATCTCTTTGAGCTTACTCTTAAAAATAGGCTGAAGGAGTGGCTTTTGGAGAAAGTGATCGAAAACCGCAACACGAAGGAGTATGACTCTAAAGGCCTTGGAGTGATCCACCTCTGTGCCGTCCTTGGATACACTTGGTCGATCCTTCTTTTCTCCTGGGCAAATATATCACTGGATTTCCGTGATAAGCATGGCTGGACCGCTCTTCATTGGGCAGCATACTATGGAAGGTGAAATAACTTGCATCTTTTATGTTATTCGAGATTCACTAATCTTGTTTTTCGTTTTATTTACTTCCTTTTCCATGTTCTATCCTTTGAAAGGGAGAAAATGGTGGCGGCTCTTTTGTCTGCCGGGGCAAGGCCAAACTTGGTGACGGACCCGACTAAGGAATTCCTCGGCGGCTGCACGGCGGCTGATCTGGCACAGCAGAAAGGTTATGACGGTTTAGCAGCTTTTCTTGCTGAGAAATGTCTTGTAGCACAGTTCAAGGACATGAAAATCGCTGGTAACATCAGCGGCAACCTTGAGGGTATCAAGGCAGAGACGTCAACAAACCCAGGGCATGCAAATGAAGAAGAGCAGAGCCTGAAGGACACTCTGGCGGCATACAGAACCGCTGCAGAGGCGGCGGCGCGGATTCAGGGAGCGTTCAGGGAGCACGAGCTGAAAGTCAGGTCAAGCGCGGTTAGGTTTGCTAGCAAGGAAGAAGAAGCCAAAAACATAATAGCAGCGATGAAGATTCAGCATGCGTTTCGCAACTACGAGACACGTAGGAAGATTGCAGCCGCTGCTCGGATTCAGTACAGGTTCCAAACATGGAAAATGAGGCGGGAGTTTCTCAACTTGCGGAATAAGGCAATTAGGATCCAGGTAACGAAATCATTTGCCATCATTTTAAATCTGAACTCTGCAACCAATAGAACTGAAACGATGTTGTTTACTGGTGATGCAGGCTGCGTTTAGAGGGTTCCAAGTAAGAAGACAGTATCAGAAGATAACATGGTCGGTGGGAGTTCTTGAGAAGGCGATTCTGAGGTGGAGACTGAAGAGAAGAGGATTCAGAGGGCTTCAGGTTAGCCAACCTGAGGAGAAGGAAGGGGATGAGCCGGTGGAGGATTTCTACAAGACAAGCCAGAAACAAGCGGAGGACCGGCTGGAGAGGTCAGTGGTTCGAGTCCAGGCCATGTTCCGGTCCAAGAAGGCTCAGCAAGATTATAGGAGGATGAAACTGGCTCATGAAGAAGCTCAGGTGAACTCACTTTCGCCTCTTTCTATTTTCTTTACTCAGTTCATAATTATATTGGTAGTAGACTGAATCAATAGAAAGTTGGATGACTAATGTATGTTAAAACCATAAAATGTGACACAGCTTGAGTATGATGGGATGCAAGAGCTTGATCAAATGGCTATGGAGAGTTGAAATGGAGTAAGAAAGAGAAGTGGTGTGGAACTGTAAATTTGTGTACATGACAAGGGGCAATTTCGACCTTTTCGAAGCTGTTTTCAACAAAGTTTCAAAAGGGTAATTATGGTAGATCAATCCTGGAGCTGGAAGATTTCCATTAGAGCGTCTTGTCGTTAAGTCTTTTTCCTTTTGTTTGTTTCGGGGGATGGTGATAGTTTTTTATAATGGAATGCGTTATGTGACGTTTGTGAGATTTGACCCTAAAAAGCTAAACGTCTTTTAGTCCTTTTTTGTCTATAATTTCTCCTTTCTACTGTTTTCTATTTTGGATTTCTGACTTATGACGATAAGTATATTTTAGTTCCGTCATTATGTGTCACACCCCACACTGTATCATTCTATTAAATAACAATCCAAGATATTGTAATAACAAAAAAAAACATGAAACAAATATACGTGAAATGAAATCCAGAGCATACATAGCGAATGTCGCTAAGGTACAAATGTCTTCTTCCACAAAACTTTTGTTACAGGCTGATCTCGAACTCTCTTGTTTATACCGCGACTTTTACACTTTGCGCCGTTGTTGAAGCTGGACTGTTGACCTGAGAGTGAGATAAACAGGAGTTTGTTTACTATTAACCGAGAATTGATTTCAATCGATCAGAGAATTGCAAATCTAGATTCTTGTGTTTACCTTGGCTGCTTTAAACAGTTCGTCTACAACTTCAGACAGAGTTGGATGTGCATGAACCGCAAGTTTTATGTCCTGCAACATCATCATCAAAAAGCCAGAAAACGTCACAATCTAAAGCTCAATGATCAAATCAGAGGTATCAGGTTGGATTAGCCAGAAAAACCCTAACCTGAAGGCGTGTTCCTAAAGCAATAGCGTTGGATGCTTCGTGGATAAGATCAGCAGCATGCAATCCAAAGATATGAACTCCAAGGATTTCACCATTGTCAGGTCTGTATATCATCTGTGCACATATACAGAGCGTGTTCAGATATCTTATCGGTCACTCGACGACTATAAACAACTCTCTTTAGTCTTTCTCTTTACCTTAGCGAGTCCTTCTCCTTCATTTTCGGCTAGAGCCTTTGTGTTCGCCTTGAAACTTGTCTTGGCAATACTTACTTTAAATCCTTCTTTCTCAGCTTTCTCTCTCGCTTGAGGCTGGGAGTTGCAGAAATGATTACCGCCACATAAAAGGTTTCGCTAAAACATTCTTTTTGAAAGAAAAAGAAAAAGATAAACAGATCCGCTAAGGGTGTGTAGAGTTTACCTCTGTCAATCCCACCATACTGATTTCAGGATGAGTAAAACAAGCAGCTGGGATGCTAAGATGATTAAGCACATGATCTCTACCTGTGACTTGCTCCACCACTAGCCAATACGAATACAATGCACATACGTTAGCACAGAGCTGATCAAACGTACTAAAGTGTGAAAAAAGAGAAAAAGACTGATGCATATATTGATAATCGATTTACCAGAAATTCCTTGGGCACTGGCTGCATGAGCGAGCATCAGTTTACCATTGGCATCACCGATGCAGTACAAGTGTGGAACCTATCAGCCAAGAGCGACTCGGTAAGAACTGGCGGTAAGTCATAAGGTGTGCATAAGAAAATAACACTAACCAGCTTTCCATTTCCATCGATAACACGCATTCGCTCATCTACTGGTATAAAACCTCTCTGCGTCGCTACATTGATCTGCGTGGAAAGCAGAGCGTCAATGTTATTTCTTTCATAACTAAATAAACTCAGAGAACCAAAAGTGACAAAAAAAAATATTCATAAGAGGATGCGGTTTATTGTCATGTTACATTTTCCAGGCCAAGACCATTGGTGAATGGAGCTCTTCCTGTAGCAATAAGAGCAGCGTCCACCTTGAAAAAAGAACATAAGGTCACACTTTTAGCGCAAGAAACCAAAAACCCATAAAAGTGTCAGTTGTTATAGAATTCAAAGACGTCTCTGTTTCTTATTCTTCTGTGGGAGAAAACGATCAAGTTCTGAAAATGAGAAGCCCTAGCTAACCTACGCAAGCATGCATGTAATAATTTATATGCTTTTACTCGTAATCCCCAAATAGTAAAAGCGCCAAAATGTCATAGTGAGCGTGGTGAAAACCAAAAAGTGCGAAAAGACATCTAGGGATCCACTAAAAGCACATAACTGGTAGGATGTAAGTTTAAGTCTCGAGTATGAGTACTAACTACTAGGCATAAGAGCACAATCATTACTTATGCATCATCTTTAATCCTTCCAGAAAGATAGCTTTGTAAAAACGTCAAAGGTACTTAAAAACTCGTTTATACGACATTTTGTTTACCTCCAAAGTATCCTTGGGTTCCTTGGTTTTGGCATCAATAAGCTCAATCAACACTGGTCTTCCATCCTTTGCTGGAGTAATCTGTAAAAAAGAGTCAAACTAATTAAGGATCTGCAAACACACTGTATAAGGAAGAAATTGATATATAGAATGCCTGAGATAAAAAGGCTTACTTTGCTTGCAAAGACTCCAGTATGATAGTCAATCTTTCTTGGATTGATCAGAACCCTTTGAGCCAGTTTACTGATCTCAGGATCAAACCCAGGCATCAGCTGATCCAGCGCCTCAATAAATGTTACCTGCACAAAATTTTGTACCACGATTGGTCACTTCCTGGAGTTCTACAATTCTACTGCATCACAAACCTTACGTAGCCAAAACAAAGCAAAAGCTCATTTTTCAGTTCGATTACCAATAGAGCAGCATCATAAGTGCCAGTCATTTCTAATGAGAGAAATAAAACTTAATTGAAAGCTACACACAAATAATTAGTAAAAACGAACACGTTACCTCACTTCCAAGGGCCGTGTAAACATCACTGAACTCAAGACCGATATAACCACTTCCTACTATCGCAATCCAGTCAGGAACAGACTCCAATTTCAATGCATGGTCACTTGTGATAACAGTCTTTCCTACAGAACAAAATATGAGGAACTTTAAGGTGCTTGCTATAATAATAACAGAGACGAGACGTTTCGTGCTTTGAGGCTCCTCCTCTAGCATATATATCTTTAAAACAAAACACATACCATCAACTTCAATTCCTTTCGGTACAAACGGTACAGATCCAGTTGCAATGATTATATCTTTGGCGGTGATAATATTGTCAGGGAAACCAACCTTTCCATATTTAACCTTTTGTGGCCCCTGAACAAGTACACAAAAGACTAAAGAGCATTAGGATCACCACTCAAGAACAGCATATCATGCCGAGTCATCAACCACAGACAATAACATACTGACCACAACAGAGCCAAACCCTGTCAATATGTCAACACCAAGTGCCTTCATTGAATTGGTGAGGTTATTCCTAATCTTGGTAGCCAGGTTACTAGCATGGTCAGCCACACCCTGACGGTCATAACCGGCAGACGAAACCTGTTATCCCGAGGAGACAAATGAAACGAGATAGAATCAGAGCCAAGGAGATAGCAATTGCTCACAATCAATCCGAAATCAAACTTTTGAGATCCTAAAATCATTTCATGGACTAACAGCAGAAATCAAAAGAGGCAACACTAGCAGCTCCTGCATTTATTCTAACATGAGTTCTCATATTACCTGCAGACCAAAGGCCTTCATGTGATGTTCGTTCTGGAGTTCCCGCATCCTACCACTAACAGCAAGAAGAGCTTTTGAAGGCACGCAGCCTCTGTTTACGCAAGTCCCTCCGACTACATCTCCTTCAATAATGGCGGTTTTGAGTCCCTAAGAACATTATCAAACCAAAAGATCACCGAGTGCACACTGTATCCAATGTTTCTTATTGAAGAGGATGTTGCTACGCATCCTTGTACCGTTTCCATATCAGTTTGAATCAAAATATTGGCAAATCATTATAAGCAATTACACCAGATTGTAGTCGAACTTGTGTTTCCAAATTGAATTCGGAGAGAAATCAAACCTTCTCGACGGCGTGCAATGCAGCTCCGTGGCCGCCAACTCCAGCTCCGATAATGACCAAATCATAATCGAACGATTTCGACGGAGCTCCATTGCCATTAGCGGAGGAAGAAGAAGAAGAAGCAGCTGCGGAGACTTCAATCCTTCTACTATGGATTTGTAAACGGCACGATGTCAACTGCTTCGACGGAGAGAAACCAAACGCCTCCCGCCGGAGTCCGCAGAACCGGAGGTTCCTCGGCGTAGAAGGAGCGGCGTTCGATGAACAGAGCGGACGATTCGATATAGCAATCGACGCCTGTGAGAAGGAAAGAGAGAGAGCTGATTGCATTGTTAGAGTGAGAGAGAGAGAGAGAAAGAGTGGGAGATCTAAAGAGGAAAATGGGAGTGACGGAGATGACAAGAACTCACACCGGAGACATAGACGAGCGGAGGCGGAGATATCAAAGATGGGACACGTGGCATGTTCCTCGTCATCAAACCGGAGATTTAAAAAACCCGGTTTATATATTTTTGAGCCCATTGGGCTTTTTATTTATTGTGTAATCTTGATACATTTATCTTCTGCTTTCGGGAGAAGAGCCACGTGGGGAGGAGAACGGTGAACAGTTCAAACGTAAGACTCCGACACGTGTGGAAAAGCAGAACACGTGTCAAAGGAAGTGGGAAAGCTCTGTCTCGTTCTGTTCCACATTCTTCTCCTTACTTGGTGTGAAGAGAGTATGTATTAACGGAGAGAAGAAGTGAGAAAAGATAAGTGAAGAGAGAAGAATTTAAAAACAACAAAAATGGAGAAGAGTGGAGGAAGAAAGGTTATGGATGAGATAAGAAGTTTTGAGAAGGCAAGCTTGTTCGATCTTGGCCACCCTCTTCTCAACCGCATCGCCGATTCCTTCGTCAAAGCCGCCGGAGTAAGTTGTAATATTTTATACAAAATAGATATTTAATATGACAATACATATATATGTATTAAAGATACCTTAAAATGTTTTATAATATGAAGGTCGGAGCTTTACAAGCTGTGTCGAGAGAAGCTTACTTTACGGTGGTTGATGGTAAAAACACTCCGGAGACTTTCTTCTTCTTCTTCTTCTTCGTATTCCAATATAAACAAGTCAAATAAATAAATAAAAAACTTTAATTTAGGGGCAGGGTTTGACTCGAGCACCGTAGGTCCACCGTCGGAGAATACTGGCAGCAAGAAACATAGGTTCCCTAATCTCAGAGGTTCGTCGCTAATTATGTCACGATGTTGCAATTACAAAAGACGAGATATATAATTCGCGTTATATTAATAATAGTGTTTATAAGTCGCGTTATGTTAATAGTGTTTGTTGTTGCATTTTCAGGGGAAACCAGCAAATCTCTGGAAGCATTGGTTAGTGTAACTACAAATGAATACTAAATTTTATTTATTTATCTAAGTCGAATATTCGTCCGTGCGTAAATAGTAAATACATAGTATGTACGTGTATTGTGTGCATGTGTGTAAAGCAAATGTACAAAAAGTTTGGTCGTAAGGTTTTGTTATTATTAAATAAAACGATTGGTCTTATAATAACGTTTTGGTTGGTCTTTAGGTGAAGAACACAGGAAAAGAATCTCTACAGTGGGGTGAGTTTATTACACATAAAACTTATGTTAAATTTAGCAGTTGTGATTAAACCTTAAATAGAGATTAAGCTAAGGATTTGGGATGTTGATTGATGCAGGGCTAGCCGCTGGATTGTACTCGGGTATAACTTATGGTATGAAGGAGGCTCGCGGGGGAGCTCATGATTGGGTGAGTCTAATCGACATTTGTCATTTTAGAAACAAATTTGTTTAGTGATGTTTAATTATTAATTAATTTGTAACCATACATATATATATATATATATATATATATCGCGCAGAGGAACAGTGCTGTGGCTGGAGCATTGACAGGAGCAGCTATGGCTATGACGACCTCGGACAGGACAAGCCATGAGCAAGTGGTTCAGTCTGCTCTCACGGGAGCAGCCATTTCCACCGCTGCTAATCTCCTTTCCAGTGTCTTCTAAATGATTTTCATTAGAAGGCTTGTTATATGTGTTAGTTTTAGCATAAGTATGTGTCTTTTTGAAAAAAGACAAAATTCTCTACGGGTCTGTTAGGACCACCTTTGTATGAAACTCTGAAGCCAGAGATCACATTTCCCTCCGTTAAAATTGTTTTCCTTTTTGCGTTGAATTTGCTTTAAGCAAAAAATGTTATTGTCATTGAGTTTAGAAGAAAGTCGTAGCCTTATCCCATTTGGATAAAGTTACGGGTGTTGTGGTCCCAGAGAAGAAAAAATGTCATATATATAAACCGAGTCCCGTGAGGTTGCTTCAGATGTTTGTTTGGAAGTATTTGCTCGTTTATCTATAATTTTATCGACTAACAACGTGACGATTTGTAGGAAGGTGAACCATCGTGCTCATTGATTTAGCGAAATCTCCTACACATCCCTGAACATACAAGTTTTTTCAAAAATATTATAGTTCTAATCTTTTTTTGTATATAATAAAAAGTCATATATTTTGTAAAAGCATATTATGTATGTGCTGTATGTTCCTTGCGTTTGTGACACCCCAAGCTACAAAATAAATATCTAGAAGTTCATTTAAACTTTTTCTTCAAAGATCTCTGAACTTTGGTCCAAGACATACACATATATGCTGTATAGTAAGGTGTTCAATCGAGGGTTAGTTAGGTCTTTCCTAGTTATATAGATAAATTGGTAGCAGAATCGTAAATAAGATTTACGTTTCTTTGTGGTTCAATCAAAATATTTTATCTTGCGTAATTGTACTATCTTTTAGTGGGTAAATAATGTTGAATATGTATATCGAACAACACAGCTACCACGTATCAATGAATAAATGTGTATCGCAGCGTCAATCTGTTATAACGCGTAAACTAACATGTCGTTTCTAAAGAAACTAACAATTTAGGTGAAGTCAACAAAAATTTGGGTATAATGATAACACTTTAAATTTTGAGATAAAAGATCGCGTAAATCTTCAGAATTTTCTATACTTACGCTTACGAAAAAGACCTCTTAAATTTGTGAAGAAGGATAAAACATTAGTCGTGACGATTGAAGTCTATTAACTTTTAGAATATTCTAGTGTAATTATGACACATTCCTTCAGAGACTTTCATTGTTTGAGCTAATAGAAATATGGAATGTCAGTTGTACAAAGAAAAGCAGACCTAAAAAAGCATTTTACTATAGTCTAAAGTGGATAAATCTTCAGATTTGTGAACAACCAATAGATTTCCAACGTACGAAAAAAGAAATAATACGAGTTTGACACCTATATGTGTAGTAGTAAATAAATTTACTTTAGACAATACAAAAAAAAAAAAAGTAAAAACCGATCGATGTTTTTTGGACAACAACGAAAAATAGGTCTCGTGAAAATACAATTTAAGATATACATTTTGGTAACAGCAGAATTTCGGGTTTGCGAAAATCGTGGATTTAATGTCTCTATTTTTGGAAATATTCATCTGGCGTAACCGCATTGTATTGAAATACGCCGCGTACTAACAACTCTTTTTGGCAACAACGCATAGCAGCTTAACAAAGTCGAGTTTGTGTGGAATTTTTAATTTATTTTTTGGTTCAGAAAGTATTAGTCGTCGTAATTAAGTTTAGTCAACTTTAATGATGATAACATAAAAAAAAATACGAAGAGTGGAGATCACATGGAGGAGGATAATATAAAAACGATTCCCATTACCTTTCCTTCCTAAAAAAGGATTCCTCTTCCTCCACATACTTCTTCTTTCTGACGTCTCACCTTCTTCCACCTTCAGTCGCCAAATGTAATCTTTAATTAAACAAATCCTTAATCATCCTCACTTTCCTAATCTCTATTCGCTAATCTCCTTCATATTTTGTTCTGTCTGCAGATATATATACTGGAATCCGATCGACAACCGTTTGAATTTGGCTGATTCTCATCAGAAGCAGAGGACTTAACATGGAGTCGGTTTTTCCGGCGACGACGACGAGCTCTGGCTACGAGCAGTCGCGGCGTAGGCGGAAGAAGAAACCGCCGTCACTTCCTCCGTCTCAGTCGTCGTTGCAGAAATGGAGATCGGAGAAGCTACAGCAGATCTACTCGACGAATATCATTCGAGCTCTGAGACAACTCCGGATTAACGCGGACACGGATCCATCAGCGAAGCCGTCTTCTTCTCGCGGCGGAGGTAGAGCCGTACGCGACGCCGCTTATAGATCCCTGGCGGTTACGGCGAGAGGCAGAACACTGTGGAGCAGAGCTATATTATCTAAAGCGGTAAAAGTGAAGCTCAAGTTCAGGAAACAGAACCGGCCGAGAAGTTCGAATCCGACGACGACGATGGTATCGATAACCGGGAATAACCGGTTAAGGAAAAAGAGAGCAACGGTTATGAGGCTGAAGACCAAGGGTTTGCCAGCTGTACAGAGGAAAGTAAAACTGCTGAGCCGGTTAATTCCCGGTTGCCGGAAACAATCGTTACCTGTGGTTCTTGATGAAACAACCGATTATATTGTTGCGATGGAGATGCAGGTTCGTGCTTTGAACGCCATTATCTCCGCCTTCGGCTCCGGCTCCGGCTCCAGCTCTAGCTCGACGGTGGCGCCACCACGGGAGACAGGTAATGATGGGGAAGACACAGAGATGCTCGGTTAGCCTGGCACAACTGTCTTTTTGTACTTTTACTGATTTTTTTTTCTTCTTTTTTTCAGTTACTTGTTTATTATTATCTGATCATGATTTCTTTCTGCTGTTTTAATATTATGAATTCATGAGTACAGACCCCCTTATTCGTTTGAGTGCATAAATCCACCCGTTTATTTCATGAATCTTTGAAAAAATGTACGAAAGAGAAGAACGATGCAGAGATTTCCTTGAGTGTAAGCTTTGATTTTGTTATGTAAAAAGTAGTGTGAAAATTAATTGATATTGAAATCGAAGTCTTTTGCCATGTTAGTTGCTTGTGTTACAGTTATCATGACACTAGGGTTACCTACATATACAAGCTGCATCTAAGTAGCAAACGACACATGAAGTTAAGGTTGGGACTTAATTTGATAGGTGTCCTCAAAGGCTTTAGTGGTGTGAACACTTGAGAGTGCTTCTTCTCCCATATATAATTGCTGAGCATAAACGGTTTCACCTCTGTAAAATTCAACACCTATCTGCAAAAACAATAAGCTGGTTGCGAGCATTCAAGAGATATATACTAAATATTACAATAAATCCAGTAAACCTAATAAGGACATGAACATATATTAACCAGAGAGAACCAAAAAAGATAAAAAAAAAAAAGAAAAGGCTAAGCCAACAGAGTGAATCTTTGAAAGATAAAATGTTTCTTTTAGGTAGGAGTGCCATCTCTAATACAAGAGCTTGGGTTCTTTTCCTCACTCTATGATGTCAGCTAATAATTCAAACTTGTTCTTCGAGAGGATCGTCGGCTGCTTGTTCTTCGCAGATGGAGCAGAACCGCTGAGATCACGAGATGGATGAAGTTTCTGTGGTTTTGGTGGTTTAGGCCTTTTCCTAATGGTATCTAGGCCTTGCTTTGCTGGCCTTGGCTTGAGCTGCTTTGCATCGTTAGCATCAAGATTCTCTATATGGTTTACAAAAGTGTGAACTCTACAATTACTCTTATCAAAACCTTTGATTTCAACGCGTTGGAGAGTGTTCCTGTCTGGATTCAAATAGGAAACATAAAACGGTTTAGATGTATACTTCTTCGAGATAACAATCTCACCACTAGCAGTCACCCCAACGATGGAATCATAGCCTGGATCAACCACCGAATTCTCTCCTAGATTGTAGACACGTTTCGACCATTTCTGTCTCTCGACATCCTCAAGAACACACATAGTCAGCACAAGGGCATTGACATCATACTCCATACTAACCCCACCTAATCTACCTTTATGGTTTACCAGTTTGATATTATACATATAATCCAAGCATTCTGCGTCGATAAACTTGAAAGTCTCAGACCTAACGTCAACGCAAAGTATCACATTAGACGGTGCATCACTCAAATCAACTAAGTAATAACAAACCCCATTGATGCATATCCCTTCACGCAAAGATTCAACGTATTCGGGACAATGGTTCTTGCTCCTCCACCTCGGTTTTCCAGTTCCTAACGTTAGAATCTTATGATGATCCCTTTCATCACAAAATGGATAAGCCTCGGCCACTACCTTGAACTGCTTGTTGATCGGATCAAACCCTAGAATGCTTTTCGACTTTCTGTACCTCATCAATTCAGGTAAGATTATGTACTGTCCCGTGATAGGGTTACATATCACAGGCGCTGTATCATCATTGACCCACACATCAGGGAAATATATCAAACCAGAGGTATAGCTACAAATGTTTCGATGCACAGCTTCACGGATCATCATATGAAAATCGGCGGCTACGACAAGGGACGACTTCCCATTTAGATTCTGAGGCTGAGGCGACGAGAAAATGCTCCACTCATCGCAGTCCTCGCCCTCATTAAGGAGGAATAAAAGACGTGGACGAGCCGAGGATCTAGTCAGAAACAGCTCGGCGAAATATGGACGGCGAAGCATGGAATCCCATAACTTCGATAGGCAACGAAACCTAGCCACTGACTTCCCCGGCAACCTCGAGAATATCTCGACGATGAGATCATTTGGGATGGGTGGTTCCATTTTCTCTCTTCTTTTCACCGAACTTGAAGATCGGTTATTGCCCTGAGACATGGTTGGCTTGTGTTGTAACTTGTAAGAGCAAGCTTGTTCTCACAGATTGATCTACGGCGGAGAAGAGCGGAAAACACTAGAGAAACCCTAATAAAAAAAAAAAAAAATTGAGGAAAATTTATGAAGGATGAGCAAAGCAATACAATAGGGGATTATTTAGAGCATGTGCAATGGTAGAAACTCTAATAGGAATCTTAGTTAATATTTAATTATAAATATTTTCTTAAGAACTTTTGTTAAGATAATTTTATTTTATATGCTCCAATGGTAGAATTGGTAGAA